TGTTATTGTTGTCGTTGTTGTTGTTGTTGTTGTTGTTGTTGTTGTTTGTCATCGTCCCACCCGCGACCCACCCACGACCCACCCCGCGACCCACCCCGCGACCCACCCCGCGACCCACCCGCGACCCAACACGCGACACACCCGCGACCCACCCGCGACCCACCCGCGACCCACCCCGGACCCGCCCCGCGACCCACCCGCGACCCACCCCGCGACCCATCCGCGACCCACCCCGCGACCCCCCCGCGACCCACCCGAGACCCACCCGCGACCCAACCCGCGACCCAACCCGCGACCCATCCTCAAGGGAGAAAAACAACGTGGACCCGACAATCGACGTTTACTCAACGGCCCTGGGCGTTTACTAAACAGCCCTGTCCTGTTCGATTCATTGTCTGTGTACGTTTACCAAGCGGTTTCGCTTGTCGGGGCGATTACTATGGGGTGGATTTTCTGCCCTCTACACCCGCGACCCACCCGCGACCCAATAGCGACCCACCCACATCGGTTTAACGAATAACTCGGCGCCTGCGGCGGGCTGGTTGTATGATTTGTGAAATTGTGGCGCCTGCGGCGGGCTTCCCCAGTCTCGTCAACTGCCCGCGTCCCCGCCGCCCCCTCACTCTCATCCGCATCTGCGGGGTGCTACGCCGTTCGTCTGTGCTGTGAAATACACATGGACTCCTTGTCTAGCACGGGAGGGGGGTGGTCTGGCCCCGGGGGAGATGTCCCAGGATAGGAAAACACGCCTCCCTGGATGCACTGGCCATCGCCGGGGCCCTGGACAAGCACTTTTTTGATCCGCGGGTCGAGAGCGCACCTCTTCCGGTCGAAGCTAAGCGGGCCGCGCACAGCTTTAATTGACAGAGGTGGCCCTGGACAAACACACAGCACCAACAAAACAAAACACATGGGGCCTGGTTAATCGAAGGGGTCATATTCACTCTTGCTCCTGGCACCTTCCCCCCAGGCCCGTCTTCCTCTGCGAGCGGGCTGCTTTCAGAACCCACATCCCACGGCCCTGGGCAGAACCCCGAGAAGCCTTACACAAGAAATCCTGACAGACGATCATGCACGCAAGGGCCCTTACAGATGGAAACCTTGCTACAGGAGTCCTTGCTACGAGGACCCTCGCTGGATTGGGCCCTTACTAAGGATCCCCCCGTGAAGGCAGTCATACCAACCCGTATGCAAGATCATGTACTAAAGGCAACCGTACAAACGAATCTATACGACATGAAGACTTGAAAAGGTCGTTTACAAAAAAGATCTGCTCTACGGATCCCGGCATAAAACCGTCCTTATTGAGGAGCCGTCAGGGGCCGATACTAAACTAATCATCCCGCAAGGTCCCCTGCTAAATGACTACGACTAAAGATCTCCTTTTGAAGGCGACCATGCTACGGAATCCTTAACAACAAATGTTGAACACGGCCCCCGGGCTACTAAAAGGCGCCCTTTCAAAGAACTCATGATTCCTGTCCGGCACTGACTGGTACGAGAACTCAAGTACTGACAAGTACAACTATTAAATCAAGACTCGCGACTACCAATAATCTGACTAAAGGAATCGTACGAGTGGCATCCGTACAAACAGTTCTTCACTGAAAAGGACCTTGCTGAAAGAACCCGAACTACATAGCATCCATAATATTCATCGCGCGCCCGAGGTAACCAGCCCAAAACCCTGTACTAAAAACGCCCTTAGTCGGAGTCCTTACCAAACGAACTCTTACTGACCAACCCTATCTACAACGGCCTTTACGGAAATATCGTTATCATTAGCATTCATACTACAAGGTCCTCCTTCTATCGAGCTGGCTCGTGAATAGAATTCTTCACCCCAAAAAACAATACTAACGATATATACGGAGTGGTGAACGAGGAAGGCAAGGAGGCAGTGGCGGGCAGGAAGCAGGACGAGAGATCGTATGCGCAACACACATCGGCGGACAGGAGCGGCTGTAGGAGGGAGAGATCCGGACCAGGAGGAAGAGGAATGACTGCGGAGGGAAGGGGAAGGGGGGGGAGAGAAGGGAGGGAGCAGGAGGACGAGAAACGCGCCGATCGCCCGTCCGAGAAGGTAAGACGAGCTCTGCGGAAAGATGCCCTAGCCCACGTTGTGCAACCTGGCCTCGGCCTCTGGCCTCCACGCTGCTGGCCAGGCCGGGGAGAAAGCATGCGCGTTGCCACCCCGACACCCCGAGGACGTGACCTTCTGCTCGCTTGCACGCTCGTGCCCCTTTTTGAGTCGAAATTCCGGGGAGGCAGGCGCATGGCGTGAAGCGCCAATGCAACATTGTGTTTTTTTTTATGTCTGTGTTATTTTATGTACGTATATACGTTTTGGATTATTGATGTATGTATGCGTGTATGTGTGTATGTGTGTATGTGTGTATGTGTGTATGTGTGTATGTATGTATGTATGTATGCATGCATGCATGCATGTATGTATGTATGTATGTATGTATGTATGCATGCATGCATGCATGCATGCATGCATGCATGTATGTATGTATGTCTGTATGTATGTGTATGTATGTGTAAATGTGTATTGTGTCCTTACTCAGCTGTCATACATGCATACATCGACACATACATACATGCGTATGTAAACATATCGTTTACATCTACACTAATGCACACACGCATACGCTCGCACCAGACTGCATTTGCCGCACGCGCTACGTGCGCTTATATACTAGTCGACTCGGCAATCGTTGTCAGTAGGCCTTGCACGGGTCCATAACTCCCAGAGACACCAGGGGAGATGTCCCCCGGCCGCAGGCCACTCGGCGGCGAGCGAGGGGGGGGGAGTGAGAAAAAGAGGGCCTTCTCGGAAGGCTCGGAAGTCCCCCAGCCTTCTGAGAAGTTCCCTGAGCACTCCCCGAATACGCAAAACACTTCTCCGAAAGCCGGCGGGCTTCTGAGAAGTCCCGCCGCCTTCTGAGAAGGCCTTCTCCTTCTCCTTCTGATTTCCCCCTCTCGCTCGCCACCGATAGGGGGCCACATGCGAACCTTACCCCTATAGCCCCCACGATTTCTGAGGGGGAGGGTGGGGTTCCCTTCGTCTGGGAGCTCCCGAGTGAGGTGAAGCCCACCCTCCCCCTCAGAAATCGTGGGGGGTAGGGGTAGGGTTCGCATGTGGCCCCCTGACCGAGCCACCCTTGTCGCGTGAGGGAGCCAGGCCCTCTGGGGGACAACCTCGGGCGCTGGGAGCGGGCGCAGGAGAGCCCGGGAGCACCTCGGGACGCGCGTCGAGCGGCTCCGGGGATCTCCCCCGCCGCGCAAGCGACTGCCGACGTGGCCGACCCTGAAGTGTCATCGCCCTTCTGTTGCATACCTTCGCGCTTCGCTGGGGCAGAGGATTCCAGCGTACGTTGCCGAGGCACTGCGGGGGCGCGTCTGCACGAATCCAGTTCTAATGCACATGTGCTTCAAGTTGCCAGCCTCCCGGCCGATGCGCCGTACAGGCGCGGCTCTGTGTGTTTTGTGGCTGTTGTCTTGTGTGTTATGTGTGTGTGGTGTGTGTGTGTGTGCGTGGGTGTGTGGGTCTGTGTGCGTGCGTGCGTGCGTGCGTGCGTGCGTGCGTGCGAGCGTGCGTGCGTGCGTGCGTGCGTGCGTGCGTGCGTGTGTGTGTGTGTGTGTGTGTGTGGGTGGTTGTGTGTGTGTGTTTGTGTGTGTTCGTGTGTGTGTGTGTGTGTCAAAAAACGGTGGCCCGCTGGCGTCCTGCAGCATGCCGGGGTCTCTGGGAGCCTCTGGGGCTGGCCCTCCGCGCCTCTAGGGGCTTCGCGGGGGGCTCCTGCGGCGCACGGTCGGCACTCGCAGGGACCTCCGTTGAGGGGAGGGCCCGAAATCCTTCTCGGGAGCGTCGGGAGCGTCTCGCAGGGACCTCTGAAGCCTCAGGTCGGGCATGTCCCCCTACAGGGGGATTTGGGGCAAATTTAAAAAAAACAAAAACAAGTCAGCAAATACCCCCAAATAGCCACACACACAATTTTCAGAACATCGTCCCCTGACTATGTTTTGGCTAGTTTTGAACTTTCCCCCTGTAGAGGGACACGCCCGACTCAATATTTGGGGCCTCTTTGGGCCCTCAATTGGTCATGGGAGCTTCTTGGGAACCTGTCGGCGGCCCTCGGGGCTCCTGTGGGGGGGCGGAAGGCTCGAAATTCGAGCTCGGCTTCCCCCTCTCGGGCCGCTCTTGGGTCTCTCTTGGGCTGCCTCGCGAACTTCTTGCACCGTCTTAAAGCCCTCATAAGCCGACTTGGTGCTGCCTTGAGGACCTCTCGGGCCGTCTTGGGGGTCTCCTCGGTTGTCGTGGACTGCGTTCACTTCAGAAGCGAATCTGGCCAACAAAACAAGATTGCCTGAACGAGAGCACATATGTTTTCTTCTCGGGTTCCTCTTGGAGGTCCCCTTGGGCAAAGATGGAAGTCAGCCTTGCTGTGAGTCCGCCACCTGCATGTGTAGCAGGTACGCCGCGCCCGTGCCCCGTGCCAGCTGGCGTCTCCTCGCCCAAGCGCCCAGAGACATGCTGAGACACTGAGGGGCCAGTATCAGACGCCAGGCGAAGGCTGGCAAACCCGTGGCTGCTAAAGCGGAGCTCCGGGAAACTGCTTCTTCTTCTTCTTCTTCTTCTTCTTCCGGGAGGCACCCCCCCGCTTACGCACTATATTCAGCGCGCTGAATTGTATGCCGGGCAGTTGTTTTGATCTTCCGGGAAGACCCTTCTGGCAGCCACGTCCTTGCCAGCCCTTGCCGCGCGGGCTCCGCAGCCCGCCCGGCGCCCTGCGGCGGCGGCAGGGGCAGCCGCCGCCAGGGCCCTCTCCGCGGGCAGCGCGTGGCGGGCCCACGTGGCGACCCAGGGTGAAACGACGCGAAGATCGAGACAAAATCGGATCGGGATAACTCGAAATCTCTGAGAATCGTTGGGCGCCGCGGCCGCTCCAGAGCGCTCCGGAACGCTCTGAGAGCGCTCCGGAACGCTGTGGAGCGACTTATTCCGATCCTGGCCCTGTTTTACAGGGGCCCGCCTGGGCGGCCTGCCCGCGCTGCGGCTGCGCCGGCCCGGTACCGGCTGGCGAGCAAACCCTGCAGCGGCTGGACCCCGGCCCATTGCAGCTGGCGTCTCCTCGCCCAAGCGCCCGGAGACATGCTGAGACCCTGAGGGGCCAGTATCAGACGCCAGGCGAAGGCTGGCAAACCTGTGGCTGCTAAAACGGAGCTCCGGGAAACTGCTTCTTCTTCTTCTTCTTCTTCTTCCGGGAGGCAACCCGTTTTTATTCAGCGCGCTGGATTCTATTCCGGGCAGTTGTTTTGATCTGCCGGGAAGACCCTTTTGGCAGCCACGTCTGTGCCAGCCTTGGGTCGGGCATGTCCCCCGACAGGCGGATCTTGAGCGACAAAAGCTGTAAAAACGCACACCAACAGGACCAACAATCATAAAAAAGAGATCGTCCCCAGACCATTTGCCTTGCGATGTCTGCAGAGGCCTCCCGTGGAGAAGCCTGCCCGACTGAATGCCAGCCCTCGCCCAGCTTCCGCCCCTGTGCCCGCGGCCCCGGGCGCCGCCGCGCCGCGGCAGACACGAGAGAGGCCACGGCCCCGCCGTCGACCACACAGAGGTCTGCCGCGCCGCGGCCCGGCGGCGAGGCGGCCCGTCGCCGCCGAGGCGGCAGGGCGCTGCCGAGCGCGGCAGCGTGGAGCGGCCCGATGGCGCTGGATCGCCCTGACCTTCCAGGAGGGCCAAAAAATAGCACGCGACTTAAAAACCTACCCCAGAGCTATTCTATGTCTTGGTTTTAGGCTGTTTCGCTTAGTTTTTTAGGTTTTTAGGCCTCCCGTGCTAAAAAATAGCTCTCTGGAAGGTCAGGGCGGTTGCAGGGATGCGAGGCGAGGGCTTATCCAGATCCACCGCCTGGGACGCAACGCCCTGGTGCCCCAGCGGGCGGCGGAGATGGACACGTTTGGGCCCCCGGGGGCCTGAACGTGTCCATGTCCACCGCCTGCCGGGGTCCCCGGAAATGGATCCTCCGGGCGGCGGTCATGTACAAATCCCCGCCTCGGAGGCTGAGCTTATGTACAGACCTGTTCTTCGCAGTGTGCAGACATTCTCCGCTCTGGAGAACATGGGTTTCTTCTATGCGGGCCGAGCGTCCTGGTGCTGGGAAGCCCTGTTCCCGCCTGTAAGAATGGAGCGCTGACTCCACAGAAGAGGGATAGCTGGTCGAGGAGCTGCTGCGGCAGTGGCCAGGAGAGAAGCGAGGAGGCAGGAGGATGAGTATGGAGACCACCATGATGCGAGAGCCCTTCAAAAACTCGGACGTCGGACGGCGGATGCATCGTGCACCGTGGTAGACAAATGCAGCCGCAATCCTCCCTCCTCCTCCTTATCCTCCCCCCTCACCCGCCTGCTCCCCCCACCTCCTCCTCACCTCCCTGCTCCCCCCACCTCCTCCTCCCCTCCTCCTCCTCACCTCCCTGCTCCCCCCACCTCCTTATCCTCCTCCCTACTCCTCCCACCTCCTCATCCTCCTTATCCTCCTACCTGCTCCTCCCACCTCCTCACCCTCCCCCCTCCTCCTCCCACCTCCCCATCCTCCTCACCTCCTCCTCGCCTCACCAGAATATCCTGCTGCACCCGCTGCGCAGGCCGACGCGGCCCTTCTGCCGCAGACTCAAGTCGCAGGGACTGCGGGCCGCAACACAACGATGCAGGGGCGGTCCCCTTTGCACACGGCTCGGGGGCGCTGGCCCGTCCGTCACCCCGAACCGCGCGCCATCATTCCTTTTATGAAGGGCCCTGTGGCTCACAAATAAATACACACAAATAAAACTATTCCCCATGTTTTTCCATGTTGTTGGTTTTTTTGTTGTCTCCCCCCTCACTTCCCATAGATTCCCATATTTTCCGGGGAATCGACGATTAATTGTGTCTGTGTGTTTTCTTCCCCCTCCTGACGTTTATTCCTCTTCCTAGATCAACGAAGGACCCATATCGTTGTGTGATCCCAGTACCAGCGTACCAAGGTGCGCGGATGGCTTGGAGAACCAAAGCCGAACATCCTTCGAGATATAGACACGCCGCCACCACGGCGCACACATTCGACAAAGAGCCCGCCCGCGGCGGACTCAACATTTGGCGATGTGCTCGCTCCCCAACACAGCGACCAACTCACGATCACGGGCGCTTGTGGCGGATGCTGTGATGGCGAAGATAACAAGAGACGAATTCAACTCCTGACGCGTGTCGGGATACTCATACCTTGGCGCGACACCTGCGGCGCATGCAAGGCCGAAGGCAACAGTGAAACTATGTCTGGCATTCACACTTCCCACTACGAAGCGATCGCATGCTCTTTGTGGGCTGGCTGACAACCATGCTGTGGTGTCCAAGGCAGCGGCCGCCAGGAAAAATGGCCCACGTGTGACGCTGTCACGACTCGAGGGGTGAACCAACGTGGTATTACAGTGCCTGAAGAAAAAAATGATTACCATACGTTGAAGCAGTGGAGCAAGAACAATACCCTGGAGCATCCCCGCTGTTCTGCGAGCCGCTTGTCCGCCAGGTCCTTCAAGTGACGATGCGAACAATAGCCACATCACCGCGGCTTTGATTTGCGGCGGAAAGTGAGCCCCGTCGCGCCAAGAAGGATATCCGATCCAGGACCGAAAACCCACCAGGCAATGATAGCGAGCGTCAGGCAATTGAACAAGATTGCTACGATGAGCCAGCCAGTCGCGTCCAGCATGCTCGGGGCTGCTCAACAATCGGTGCCTTGTTAAGATCGCTTCCCTGGTGCATCGGGACTTGAGCATTTGAGCCACAATGGCAGCGGAGGTCCTTTCGGAATTCATTTGGCTCGTCTTGGAGCGTCTTGGACGCCGGCTGGGCCATTTAAGCCGCCTCGTGAGCCGTCGCAAGCCCCCAGGCCGGTTCCCCCCTTATTTGTACAGTCGGAACTGGTGGCGCTGGACCTCTCCAAAACGATCAAAATGTTCAGTACGTTCTTTCCGAACGCGAGCACGGCCCGGGCTGCCAAACATAGAGTTGTACTCTGGGCGGTACTCGAGGGTGCCTTAAGGCGGCTCTCCGGTTTAGGCGCCCACCCCCCCGAGCTCGGCAATGAGATGGGGAGGTGCAGAGGCCAAGTTGCCACCCCTAGCTGTATAGGGTGCAGAGGCATCTCAGAGCCCAGCCCCACCTCAGCACGGCCCGTCTGCCTCTCCGCCGCACTCAGCAGGCGCGGAGAGGTGCCACGGCCCACTCGCCGCACTTCATGGTGGCAGGTGCAAAAGCCAATGGCGCCGCACTGAGTCAGGGTGGCTCCTGCCCCAGCTGAGCGTGGCGAACGTGAACCTTCGCTGCACGCAGCCAAGGAGAGCCGGGTCCGCTGAAGTGCCCACTTGCCGCGCCTGGCTGGGTGAGGTGCGCAAGCGAACGTGCTGCAGCGAGCCGGGGTAGGGTCCTGGGGCACGTCAGACCCCCATCCCAACTCAGCGCGGCCGACTTGCCCCGCAGCCCCCCGAAGGCTGGCGAGCGCCCCCCCCATCGGGCGCGACGCTCGGTCTTCCGACACTCCAGAACTGCCCGAGAGGCGGCCGAGAGCGCCCCTTGTGAGGGCTCCCACGCGGCCCAACCGGGGCCCAAGAGGCCCCGAGGAGAACGGGCAAAGAGAGACCAAAGATGGCCCCAAGGAGGGGACTCGAACTGACATGTCGCGCTCTCCACCCCAAGATGACTCCCGAGAGCGCCAGCAGGCCCAAGTCAAGCCCCAGGAGAGCCCCAAAAAGGCCCCGCTAGGCCTCAGGCCACCCCCAACACCTGCCCGAAAGGTTTCCGAGAGACCTCACAGGACTCCAAGATGTCTCTACAAGCTAGGTGCGATGCCAAGATTGGCCAACTTCAATTTTACATACAACGACATAGTTCGGTGGGGGTGAGGATGAAGGTTGTGAAATAGATGGTGGCAATGATGATGATCTTGATTATGATTATGATGATGATGATGCTGATGATAATGATGATGGTGATGGTGATTGTGGTGATGATGCTGGTGATGATGATGCTGATGCTGCTGATAATGATGGGGGCAACGATGATGAGGGCATTGATGCTGGTACTGGAAATGGTGATGAGGAGATGGTGATGGTGATGACGATGGCACTACTGCTGGCGATGATCATGATGATGGTTGTGGTGGCTCTGATGATGGCGCGAATGATGATGGCGATGCTACTGATGGTGATGATGGTGATGCTGCTGATCATGACAATGATAATGGTAATGCACATGCTGATGATGCTGGTGCTGATGATGATGACGAGGAGGAGGACTGGTCCACTTCCCCGAGTGGCGGGGCAGGCGAGCTTCTGCCAGCGAGGAGCAAGCCGTGCGCGACGGTCGGGCTGTCTGAGCCTCAGCAGGCGGCCGAACACGCCGCTGTCGGGCACATGGCTTCCCCCGAAAGCAGAGGGAGCCCGAAACCATTGCAGAGATTGCCCTACGCACTCTCTACGCGGGGGAGCGCCTTACAAGATACCAGCGCAATCGAAGCATGACGCGGTTTGCGTGCCAGCGCGTTGATGATACGATATCTCTTGCGCAAGCCAGCAGGAATGATTAAAAGGGGCCCTGGGACACACTTATACACAGACACAAATACAAGGATTCCCGATCTTTTCATACATTTTCTCTGTTTTTGTCTTCCCCCCACTCCCCAGATGTTCCCTTATTTTCTTGGAAATCGACGATGAATGGTGTCTGTGTTTTTCCCAACCATCCTGTGGTGCTGGGCCCTCGTTTTGAAGAGACAGCGCCCAGCGTTTCCTCCTCCTTCCTCCTCCCTCCTCCCCTCCTCTCATCATCATCATCATCATCATCATCATCATACTGATCATCAGCACCATAATCATCATCAGCATCATCATCATCATCATTATCACCATCATCATCATCGTCAGCATCATCATCCTCATGATCATCGTCACCTTCGTCGTCATCATCATCAGCATCACAAACATCATCACACGTTTCGTTGCCCCATAAGGAGTTCCGCCGAGGGTCCCAAAGACACAGTTGACATGCGTCCCCGACACGCATTTCGGCACACCCATCACACGCTTCGTGGCCCCATCGGAGCTCCGCCGAAGGTCCCCGTGGCACGATTCGCATGCGTCCCCGCCACTTATTCCGGCACACCCCTCAAACGTTGCGTGGCCCCATAGGAGCTCCGCCGAAGGCCCCACTGGCACAATCCGCGTGCGTCCCCGCCACTCATTTCACCCCTCACACGTTTCGTGGCCCCATCGGAGCTCCGCCGAAGGTCCCAATGGCACAGTACGCACGCGTCCCCGACACGCATTTCGGCACACACACACACACACACACACACACACACACACACACACACACACACACACACACCTCACACGCTTCGTGGCACCATAGGAGCTCCGCCGAAGGTCCCAGTGGCACAGTTCGCATGCGCCCCCGCCACGTATTGCGGCACACCCCTCACACGTTTCGTGGCCCCATATGGAGCTCCGCCGAAGCGGCACAGTTCGCATGCGTCCCTGCCACGCATTCCGGCACACCCCTCACACGTTTCGTGGCCCCGTAGGAGCCCCGCCGAACGGCCAAAGGCACAATCCGAATGCGTCCCCGCCACGCATTTCGGCACACCCCTCACACGCTGCGTGGCCCCATAGGAATTCCGCCGAAGGTCCCTATGGCAAAATTCGCATGCGCCCCCACCACCCATTTCGGCACACCCCTCACACGCTTCATGGCCCCATAGGAGTTCCGCCGAAGGTCCCAATGGCACGATTCGCATGCGTCCCCGCCGCTCATTTCGACACACCCTTCACACGCTTCGTGGCCCCATAGGAGCTCCGCCGAAGGTCCCAGTGGCACAGTTCGCATGCGCCCCCGCCACGATTGCGGCACACCCTTCACACGCTTCGTGGTCCCATCGGAGCCCCACCGAAGGTCCCAGTGGCACAATTCGCACGCGTCCCCGCCACTCATGTCGGCCCACCCTTCACACGTTTCGTGGCCCCACAGGAGCTCCGCCGAAGGTCCCAGTGGCACTGTCCGTCCGCATGCGTCCCCGCCACTCATTCGGGCACCCCCCTCACACGTTGCGTGGCCCCATCGGAGCTCCGCCGAAGGTCCCAATGGCACAGTCCGCATGCGTCCCCGCCACTCATTTCGGCACACCCCTCACACGCTTCGTGGCCCCATAGGAGCTCCGCCGAAGGTCCACATGGAACAATCCGCATGCGTCCCCGCCAC